CTCTCTCTCTCTCTCTCTCTCTCTCTCTCTCTTTTCCTCCCTTTGTTTAAGTACATTAAAAAAAGTTGGAAAGGGCATTTAAAAATTAAAAGATAAAAATGATTTTAGTAAATATTTAGAGATGAAAGCTAATCCTGAAAATACAGCATTGAGCTAATTTTTAAAAAAAAAAAATATTAAAAGGACTTTGAGATCAGATCCTGTAGGGTGTCATAATACTATTAGCATAGCTTGACCTTTCAATCCGACAAAATATAATATAACTTCTTAAAGTTAAAGTATAATTTCTTAAAGTTACTCACTTTAACGTTTTATCAAATATGCGATTAATTCCATTCTTTATCACATGCAAAATAGTTTTCGAAATTATCCGTTTTAATTGTGTTGCACCATTGAATTCACATTGTATATTTTCTTTTTTGGTACTTTTGGTACTTATTTTTTGGTACTTATTGTATATTTTCTTTTTTGGTACTTATTTTGATAAATGGATTAAAAAAATTTCTGAAGCATAAGCCACTATTTATCATTATCACTGTTAAATATAGAACTCATCTTCAGTCTTTGAAGTTTTCAGTTTCACAAATCTATCCAAAGTTTAGTGTCACGCTGATACTAAACTTTAGATAGATATGTGATAAAAAATTTTGATCCGATCTGCCGAAATCAGTTACAGTGATAAGCTTTATCATATTTCAAATACCATTACTATCTTTGAATAATATAATCAAAAATGAGTGAAGAGAAAGTTTTTTCACAGAATTTTGCTCTTTTTTTCTATTTTCTCTCTCCTGCTGAATTGTCCACTATACATCAGAATTCATAATAATAGGATAATTTGAAATAGTTCCACTAAACTCAAAAAAAAAATGAAAAATTATTAAAAAATTGATATAAATTTAGTGAAATAAATCAACACTCTAAAGATTGAAATGTAAATTGCTGGCAAAATTTTATTTCAAATGATGATGTGTAAAAATTTTGCATTTTTTTTCTCAGAATAAATTTGATAATATTTTAGTCAAAATCACATTTCCATTCTAATTTTTGCGCAGACAAACGCATGATTATAATGATTACAATATAATTATTTATAATTCATTAAATATTTCAAATGAAATAATTTCAAATGAAATTGTTCACATATGAAATAATTGTACACCTAAAACTTTACCACAATAATTAAAGTAATTTGAACTTTAACTGATGTAATTTGCATTTTGATGCAATTAGCAGAGTAAATTTTATTGCAAACAAAATTGATAATAGTGGAATAAAATTTGCATTAAAAAGATGAACTTAAATTTTAATTAATGTAATTAGTGGAAAGATTATGAGTGATAAATGAAAAGAAAATTGAAAAAAAAAATATTGCTAATAGTAGCAATTTCAATTAATTTAATTTATTCAATGGATGACTAAAAGTGCGATAAGCGGAACGCTTGAAAGAATGAAAAATATTGCTGAGTGCGTCGCAGTCTGTTTGTCAGATTTGTTAATATTTCACTGTAGGATTTCTAAAGCCAATTTTAACTTTCGTGAAATTTTAAGCCAATTTTGAACGAGCATTTGTGTGAATTTCGATTTTTTCTCACCTTAAATAGAAATCTGATCTCAAATGAAAGAGAAAGGGAAAGAGGAAGAGAGAGAAAGAGTGGAAAGGGAGTAAGTGAAATTGCAATGATATAGCAATCTTGATCGATGACAAACTTTTTTTTTTTTTTTTCAATCTTTTCTAACATTCATTTCAATCAAAATTTTAGATCTCCTTACTAAACAAGAAATTTTATTGCATTTATTTTTTTCCCCATAATGTAAATGAAGATTTTCAAATTTTTTTTGAACATCTGAACAAACCAAATTATTTCGACGTTTTTTCTTTCTTGTTTTTGTTTTTGTTTTTATTGCAATATCAATTATATGGAATTAATCCATAATACGAAAACGATCATTATTTCATTTCATAACATAACCAGCGTTTGTCTTATCACTTGAATTGTTATTAAAATTTCAGGAAGTACATTTTCTATTGAAAGCATTGAGAGAGTGTTCGGAGTATTTCCATCGAGTACTTCTTTGATACACTTAAACAAAAAAAAAAAAAAGAAAAAAAAATGAAATTTCTCATAATTATGTATGCCGACATAAAAGTGTTATTGACTATGTTTTATTTATTTCTTTCCATTTTATATAGCTCTGTAACGGTATTTTTTTTTCAGCTTATTTAAGACTACCGCAAATGACATCCGTAACATTTTAATAGCTAAAAGCTAGCTGAAAATGTGAAATAATGTAAAAGAAAAAAAAAATTTCCTTCCTCTGTTTTTATTTTTTTTTTTCCTTTCCCAATTACTTAACTTTTACTTGATTAGAATGATGTAAGAATGATCTAGAAAGAATTTCAGCATTGAATTCACAAAGAATTTTTTTTTTTCGATAAAAAGTGAATTTAACCGTAAGAATGATTGAAGAAATAAATGAAAATTAAGTTTTTAAATTATAGTTCAAAAATTTTTCGATTTTTGTTATCATCTTTGTTTACATAATCTTTGACATGCACAAACACACACACACATAAACACACACACACACACACACACACACACACACACACACACACACACACACACACACACACACACACATTCACAGGAATGGTTGGCTGATATTTTTTTCCCTTGAATCGAAAATTTCATAAACTATTTTAATGATAATTCGTCGTCATTATGCTTAACTCTGCTGTTAACAACAATCAATTAATCTGTTAATTTAAATTATCTAAATTTGCAGGATTATTTCAAGAATTTCAAATTTTTAATCAATAATTTACATTTAAAAAAAATTAAACTTGGTTACATGAGTATTTTTTGTTAAATTATGCAATTGCTATTATATAGTAATTGCATATTGATGAGAATTAATCCTAATTACTGTTTATAGTGTGATTCATCTATTGATTTTTCCAGTTGTTATACTCTGTTGGAACTTCATTTTCAAAAGCATAATTCGATAATTGAAGAATACTGAGAATGGAATTCGGTTTCAATTAATCAATCAGTTCAATAAGTAATAAAACATTTATTTTTTTTTAATGCTTAATGATTCAATATTTGATGAATTCAAGCTGTTAAATTATTTATGCATACTTAGAAAATGGTATTTATTTCAAACTCCATCATTTCATTTGATCATCATGAAATCATTTTCAGGCAGCTATTAAATTTCTAACATTTTTGCATAATAACAAATATGAGTGCGTGTAAAACGAACATTTTTTCAAATTAATTTCTTAAATGAAAAAAATGAAAAAAGAAAAAATGGAAAAAATGACTCATTCAAGTTAAATGAAATACAGGGAGCGTGATACTGATTTAATAATAAAAATTTTACATAGCTCGAAAATATGCAAATTGCAAAATGTTTGCAAACATCGTAAACAATTTTTCATTTTGATGTCACAAAAGAATGATTAATGCAAGTATGAATGAATGTCACAACCGTTTAACACACACT